AAGAATGTCTAGAAGGAAAATTTTTGGCCTTATGCATTTTCAGATGAGCTTACAATCAGCTTGTTATTTTCTATTCAAATTTTTGGTGAATTATGATTGCAATTGCATTGAACCTATAGATCACTGTGGGTAAAATTGCAGTATTTCCAGAATCTCTCCCCTGGCTTTAGTGCATCTCCGTATAATGGGAGTTTCAAGGGGCTGGAGAGACGTAGCCCGCCTCCATATCAATAGGTAATTACAAGGGCAATAGAGGGCTTATCTGGACTGGAGAGGTTGGGTGGGGGCTTGTTGACTGCCACCTGGTTGCCTTGTGGGGAAGCAGAAGTGGATGACTGCTTGTAAGAAATAAACTTTATTTCTCCCTTTCACTGATTTTGGTTTCAAAGGTATTTTGCCCTGGGATTTTCACCTGGAGTTACAATCACTTTAGGGAGAATTCACATCGCTGTAATATTGTGTCTTCAATTCAAAACATGGTATATCCCTACATTTATTTATGTCTTTTGTCAGCCTCAGTAGTTTTGTAGCATCAAGATCGTACATATCTTTTCATGAAGTTTGTTCCTATTTATATAATTTTAATGCTCTTAAAAAGAAACACACTGGCCCAACATTTCGTCACTTCTGCTAGGCCAAGTCACAAAAATAGGGCCTAATACTTAAACCCAATTACAGTTTCAACCTCCCCCAGAAATACAGTCAGTCAGGAATTTTCTGATCAGCATCATTGATAAGATAATCTGTCACATGAGCTTTCTCCATCTTCCATAAAAGACAGAATAATCTACATTATAAGGACCCCTGCTCTACCCCCTAACAGAAAGTGACCTTGCCTGAAATAATCCCTTCTTTTCTTTTGTGACTAGCTTTTTCACCACCTTCCTGTTTATAAAAACTTTACGTTTTGTACAATTCTTTGGAGTATCTCCTTACTTACTAGAGGAGATGCTGACCAAGTTCATGATTTGCTTAAAAAAGCCAGTTAGATCTTGAAATGTACTTGGATGAATTTTGATTATTAACAATGTTGATGTAATTTACATCATTAAAACATTTTCATTTTCTTATTAGTTTTTGCTAATATATAGAATAGAATTTATATATATCAATCTGCTATTTTACAACTTTGCCATATTCATTGAATAATTTTAATATTTTATCTCTAGATTATTTGGATTTCCTTCCTTAAATATTTGAAAGAATTCACCAGTGAAACCATCTGGGTTTGGTGTTTTTTGGTTTTGCGTATTACTTTTCTTTTGGTGGGAGCCAAGGGCGTGCTCTGAAATCTTGTCTGTCCAGAGGCCTTGACATTTGTTGATCCTTCATGTCTTACATGGCTGCTCCTTCATTGATTCAGTGACCTGCTCAAATGCCACCGCCTCAGAGAGGTCCTCCATGACTGTCCCAGCTAAAGTACACCCACTCCTCTCAACGACCATTTCTTTTTTTTCCATAGACTTAAAAACCCCTAATTTAACTCTCCCCAAAAGTTGTTTATATGTTTGTTGCTGATCTTCCCTGTTAGAATGTGAGCTCCACAAGGAGAGCTGTCAATCTCATTCCCCTCTGACTCTTCAGTGCTTGGCACACAGCAGTTACCCAATAAATATTTTTAAAGTGATTAAATGAATGAAAGAAAGCCAAATGGATGCCCTTTGACATGACAAAGCTCCCAGAACACGAGAGCAATGATGAAAAGTGTTCATCATTGAGCCTCACCATGTTAATGTTAAAAACTGTCTAGGATCTCAATCAGACTTAGCATAGAAAGAAAAACCTGCAATATAATCCTGTAGTCTCTGCCAAGTTACTATGTCATTTTGAAACAAAGTGTAATGAACATAAAAAT